TGTGTGTATGTATATGTATGTACTTATGTAGTATCAGATGTAGTAGGTTCCACGTATGAAACAATTGCATACGTTGACATAATAGAGACATAAAATGCATTACATTCATACACGTATATATTTTTTAATTTTAATCGAAGAATATTGTGAAGCATTTTTTATGACATTATTATTTGTTATTCTGTCCATGCACACATTTTCTAGGTTTAATCTTTTTCTAATTATTTTCCCAACCACATCCATTATTCACTCTCTCTGCATATTATGGTTTATTATTTTCTTATCTGAAGCAGCGTGTTAGAATCTCAAATCACAAACTGAATCAGTTTCAATTTTAAAACATTTCTGCATTTGAAAACCATTAGCAGCGCTCATTAGTTTCAGGCTCTGCTCAAAACAGACTCGGACAAGCCAATACAAGTACATTAAAGTCTTTTGAAGTGTATTAGCTATAGAGGCTATAGAATTAAGGCACTCAACTTCAGAAATGGTGACTAACCTACAGAAATGGTAGCAGTGGCAGTGACGATGATGACGAAGGTGATGAGGATGATGAAGTCGATAATGAAGATGATGATGAAGATAATGATGATAATGATGATGATGATGATAATGATGATGATGATGATGATGTTGATGATGATGATGATGATGATGATGATGTGATGATGAGGATGATGATGATGATGATGTGATTATGATGATGATGATGATGTGATGATGAGGATTATGATGATGATGATGTGATTATGATGATGATGATGATGATGATGATGATGATGATGATTATATGATGATGATGATGATGATGCTGATGAGGGTGAGGATGCTGATGAGGGTGAGGATGGTAAAGGTGATGCTTTGATGATGATGGTGATGATGCAATAATGATGACAATTTTGATGATGATGACAATTACGCTCAGAATGACGGGCAGACTGCTATATATAACTTTTTTCTGAAAATTTTCCATAGATGATAATACACAAATTTCAATATTTTCTATTTATCAAATTTTACTTCAGAATTAAGGAATTTATTGGATTTGGTGTTGGAGCTGGTGCAAACATATTAGCTAGATTTGAGGTCAAGTATTATATTTTCTGTTAGATTCATTCAGTTTAGTATAAATACATAGATGTAGATATACAGATACAATATTTTGTTTATATAATGCATGTAGAAATTTGCCTTTCACTGCCATCAACTATAACCGAAAAGTGAGCTTCACCATTATTATTATAACATTATGATTATTTAATATTACTGTATAGTTGTATTCTATTTTCACTGTAGTTTCTATATACCATATTTATTAAAATGAACGCCCTGATTTGAATAATTACACCCTCTTGGAGAAAAGCTGCCTCTATAGCTTCATTTGGAATAACTCCCTCGAATTTTTCCTTGAATAAATGCCCCGTAAATGACTGTAAACAAATCTAGTGGAAGCAACATCATTCTCCAAACACATTCTATTATTTTTTATACTCCAGCAGAATTGCAATTTTTTAACATGTTGAAGATGACGCAATAACACATTTTTTCGGTAACTATGTGTTGTAGTTCCACATTACAGTAAAGTTATGGGGCATTTATTTGAGTAATGTAATAACACATTTTGACGGTAATTAAGGGGTTAAATTAAGAGGCGTTTATTTGAGTATAAACATTCATTTTACACCAAAAAAATAAATGCCTCCCTCAAATGAACGTCTCCCTCAAATAGACGCCTCTAAAAAACCCTCAACCAATGGAGCATTTATTATATTATGCTGTCTATGTAATAGTTCACGCAACATAAATCAAATTTGTTGATCAGGCCTCAGGAAAATTCACATTCAATATCTCTGCCGTGATATATATTCGATTACATAAAACAGAAAAACATGTAAATGTTTCAGGTATATGCCTGATGCTATATTACTTATTTTTCAAAGGTCATAAATTATTTGTAATGGTACACAAGCTCAAGGTTATGTTTGAATTAACATTGATTTCTGTACTCAAATAATTCATGAATTTAATAATTATTTTTCTCTATCTTCAGTTGGAACATCCTACATTAGTACGTGGACTGACTCTTATAAATTGCGTTGCATCAACTGCATCGTGGTCGGAGTGGGGGCATCAAAAGGTCTTGTATATGATACTGATTTATTCTGTCCTGTTCTGTAACAAATTATCTGTAATTTGCTCTTCTTATGGACATAATGATGTCATACGACACCCAAACATGGACATATCACATCATACCCATATATGTGAGGTCTCACCACGAAATGAGACACATCATTGGTGAAATCATATTGAGATATTCACCAAAACAGGTCAAAGGCAACATTTTTACAAAACTTTGATTTTAATGTTTTTGAAATATTTAATACTTATATTTTATGATTGTTTACTTTTTAAGTGAATTTTCTTACTAAAACAGTGTTCTCTGTGCATATTCTGTAATTCTAGTACTATTATTTGTACAGGTTAGTTTATCTTTGAGGCCGATTTTCTCAAAACCTGGTTCTCATACACCTAAATTTTAAATGCTAACATCTCTGGATCTATTTATCCTAGGGATGCCATTCAAAGACCAAATTAAAGCTTATAATGTGATCTACCAAAATGTAATATTAACTCATTTTTTGATTTTCTAACGATGAGACTCATTTTGTAGTGAGACCTCACATATGTTCAAATCACTTGTCTTATAATATTTGATAGTGTGGAAAATAGCGTTATGTTGGACAATAAAAAAAGTTGGAATTATTGCAAATCAGAATTCCAATTTAAACTGCATATTGTCATTTTTTTTTATCTTTCAGTTTTCTTCATTTTACCTTAAAGGTAAAGGGATGACCAATTTCTCACAGGAGTATCTGTTGTGGCACTATTTTGGAAAGGTAAGGCAGTTATAACCCTTGAAAGCAGAGCCTAATAATTTAATCACTTTTGTTTACATGCACTTAAATGTGACCGACCCTTGCAAAGCCCTACATTTGTCACAATTTCTGATTTTACACTAGCACCTTAAGCCCAAGAAACAGAATTTTAAACAATTTCAAGTTTTTTGCAGTTTATGAAAGAATTACAAACATTTCTATAAACTATCAATCACTTAACTGAAAAGATACTAAAATTATTTTTAAAATACAAATCCTGATATTAAACTATTGATTTTGGAATCTTTGGAAGCTATTTTTCTCAAAACCTGCATTGCTGATATCCAATGAACTTAATATTCATAACTTCAGCAATACTCAAATGATTTCCATCAAATAGACACATTTTGTAATTATTCTCACTATCAAAACAATCACAAAATTATTCCAGCATGAAAATAGAGACAGTAGTGTAAAGCTTTTTTTGTTTGCGAAATCTTAATTTTTGCTGTAATTTAATATTTTTTTTGCTGTAATTAAACAAAGTGATTTCCAAAATTATTCTTGCATAAAAAATTGCAAAAAACATTGTATTTTGTTTCATATTAAAACATCATTCCATTTTTATCAAGGACAAGTTCAACTATTTCTGGTTTAGTTCATTTAACTTAGTTTCTAACCATAGTTCTTAAATATATGAAACCAGTAAAAATATAATATGCTACATATACAGTACAGGTGTTTGCAGCTGTTCTGAGCATAAGGTGTGATTTTATTAGCTAAAGGTATTTTTTATTGCTTACCTGTTCTGGAAATTCACACCAGAATTTTAGTCTAATGTGACTTGAAAAATGTAAAGTGAACATAATTTCAAATCATGTTATTTTTCCAAGAAATATTATTATAAGTGGAAAATGTGAAAGATTGAATATTTGACAAAAAAAAAACATATTGCTATGTGGATGTGTCACGAAACAAAACTTAGCAAATTAAATTTTTTTTAAAAAAGTTTATTTTCCGTTTAAAAGTTATTAGCTAATGTGAATGCTTTTGCTTTTATTTTTTGATATGTTGGTTTAGTCAGATTTATTTTTTATTTATTTTATTTTTTTTATTTCAAACAGATAAATATCTCAAATAATTGGTCAAACTCAGTATACTAAATATGTGGGATATGATCGTTAAACCAAGAATGAGGGAACTCCACGGGGCCCCAAGTCTTCTGCAAGTCGTGGGAGTCTCTCGGAAAATTCAGGCAGCCTACCGCAGTCCCGCAACCAAGCAATAATAACACATCCTCCGCAAATTCATAATATTTGCATGTTTTTAGTACTAAGTTACTTTAATTAATTTATTAACAATTGTATCATGGAAGCCAGTGTCAATGGATATCACCATGCACAGCACAATATAATTAGATGTGTTTAAAAGGTTCATTCAAACAGATCTCTTGGAAGGGGCTTCTTTCAACTAGGGACCCCTGAATCTTTTAGAGCAACTGAATAAATTAAGCAACTAATTAACATGAGAAATACTTATATGATATTTTGAATAATTCACAATGTAATAGCATTATAGGGCCTAAAGAAAAAAATTGTTTGCTCTCCAGCGCCCGCCCTAGCCACTGAAAAATAGGGGCGGCGTTTTTATAAAGGAAGTTTTTTGGGGATTTTTTTTCAATTTTTTGCTCACAAAGTTTTAGCATTAAAGGCCAAACAATTTTGTTTGTATAGGCCTAGTACATTGATATAATTGTGTTTGTTATCATTTCTTTTTTATTTATTTTTTTTTTGTTTTTTTTGTTTTTTGTAGAAAACACTAGAATCAAACCATGATCTAGTGGCAGTGTACAGAGAGAATTTGGCGAAAAGTGTGAACCCTGCAAATTTAGCACAATTTATCAACAGTTACATCAAGTAAGTAAAATATAACAATATTTGAAAAAATAATAATTAATAATAACATTACCAAATGAAATGATATTGATGATCCTAAAAATGTTCAATTAATACATTTAATTTCTCAAGTTAATCATCAATTGAAGAAAGGCTCATTTCCAACTAACTTTGTACTAAAATGTCACAGGGAGGCATGAATGGATGGTCTACACCAACTCAGCCCCAACATGGTTGGAGCTGGGTTACAAAATTTTATGGATATATCACTTCTAGATGGCTGGAAATTGCTTTCTTAGACTTTAAACTTGAAAGCATTGAGGCTTTAGCATAATGCGCTATATAAGGCAAAATTATTATTATTATTATTATATAATTTTCTTTTTACTCCATTATGTTTTTTTTTCTAATTTAAGGGGTTATTTAGCCAGACTGGCTTCTTCCTAACCCTTTGAATTCACCTAGGGAGTATTTTGAGACATGAAGCACTGCATTGAATGCCACAACATCATATTAAGAATTAACTTGCAGTATTAAACAATATTGTTTGTTCTTGTAGGAGAACTGATCTAAATATCGTACGAGAATTAGAAAAGTCGAAAAAGAAAGACGCAAGAACGCTAAAGTGCAACACAATGCTTATATGTGGCAAAAGCTCACCTCATATCAATGATACCGTGAGTATTTAGAAAGCTAAGTATACATGAATTGCATCCATAAAGAACATAGCATTTTGCTAAATTTTTATACATCTGTAATTCGGGCAAATTTTAATAACAACTGAGAATGCAACATGGTTAGGCGGGGATCGTTTTTAATGACGATTCGCGACTGACAATCAGCAGAGTGCGTAATGTTGTCAAGCGCTCACAGAGAGCAAAGATGGATTTGTAGGTTAGCAGTTTGTATCTGGATTTAACCCTTTCACTGCTAAGCCTTTTTAGGCAGAAGGTTTTTTTGAAATAAATGCCAAAAAAAAAAAAATTAAGAGGTTATTTTGAAATTGTTTTTGCGTGTTGGGGTGGGAAAGAGGTTGGCCTGCAGGAACAAATTGAAATTGGAATTTTTAATTAGGTGGTCATGTGACCTTTTGGTGACCATATTGGAAATCCCCTTTTTCATAAATCTGTAAAAAAGATAAATTCTTTTATGGGATGCTGTTTTTTTTTTATTGGATAATGGTGAAGATACATAAAATGAATAAAAGAAAAAATCAGTAGTTTGAATTATTTTCATCATTCTATTCAAAAACAGACATGATGTTTGTTGGCAGAATCGTGAAAAAAAATTCCAAAAAATCGCTACAAGATGAGTTTTTCGTAACAATTAGTCATTACTCCATATAATTCAGTAGAAATCACCTCTAGTTCATAGAAACAACTATGAAGGGCGTCTGCAGTACGGGAAAAATTGACAACAAAATATTTTCATGCCCCCTGTAGTACCGGGGGCACGCATCGAAAGGGTTAAAGAGCTTAAGTAGTTCAGAATATACGGAGCAGAGAGCATTGTGGTACTGTTGTGAGTGATCATGATTTGCAGCCCATTCTCAGTAACAGGCTCAGAACACCGTTCAGAAAATAATAGGTGATTGTTTCCCGGTACCAATTCACTACCTTCCATGTTCATATAAATGAGACTTGCCCTGCCACAACCAGCATCTGTGACCAAGACAAGAAAATTGGCTTTTTAACATATTCATATTCTCCACATTATAAGCCTTATATTGATAGGTCATTTGCTGGAATCAACTTACAGTTGCCAGAGTTATGAGTAAAAGTAGCTTCTCTGTACCACAGACCCAATATACGAATGTAGGGTCTGTGCCTGTGCTAAAGTATACAATACAGCCACACTCTTATGCTATTTACTCAGTTTAACAGTTAGCAACAGTACACTGGTTTTGGAATGGAAAGCCTCATTTTGCTGCATACCTGCAGAGTTAAAATATACCATTAGACCCATAAATTGGTCTACATATTTTTCCAGCATCTACAACAATGGATTTTCCATCACTACTTTAACACACTTTTGGTGAGATTGTTTCTGGATGGCATGAATTTTTTCAGATTAATGATAAATTATTGTAAGAACCCAAGAAAAAATTAAGCAATTAATCTCTCGCCCGTCAGGCTGTGTATAAATTCCACAGCTGATGTTAAGCGTTATCAAGACTATGGAACTTTATTTGACTATTTGGCATGCCGCTAGTATACGAGTAGTAGGGGAGATTTCACGCCGATAAATACACGAACGGTACTGGGTAAAGGCGACTTGATTTCTTGCCTCCAACATGGCATCCATTCATAGTCATTATGAATATAAGCCTATCTGAGAGTGACTCTAGGGTGGTCGAGACCAGGACATATATCCGACTGTGAATTGAACAAAGGTTGAATTATGTTATTTATAGAACAAGTATACAGAGATTAGCCCATAAATGTAAGCAATTACAGTATATTTAAAAACTTAGTAAATGTATCTGTAAGTAATCTTTTGGAATTATCAATAAAGTAACATAAAATATAAAAAAATAAAGGAAGAAGGAAGAATAGGAAAGAAACTCGGAGTGGCTGAAACAGTACCGAATTAGTATGTCATTATTGTATTATGTTTTGGTAAAAATTTGAAGGCACTATGAAATATGTCTTTATCACCAGAGTAAATCTCTCCATGAAAGTATACCTGCAAGGTCTGTCTGGCATGAATATACCAAGGATTGACTAAAATTACTGTGTAATCTGAATAAGGCCTACCAGAAGCAAACACAGCACATAGTTATTTTTTTTTAACAATTCAAGTAATAGTATAAATCATCTAGAGCATGATAAATACTTTAATGTTCCAGGCTGAACTTCGCAGGAAAATGTAATGAAAATTTGTACGAGCAGTATGTTCATTAACATGTAGGCATCGAGGCCCATTTGCGTAGCATAGTGTATCCTGTGTTTTATTTATTGCATATTGTTTATATTTCACAGCTGTGTAACCTCCACACCGTGTAAATACAATTAAAACATGTTATAGTCATTTTTGTTTTATGTATTATATATGCGTTCGTGTTTCTTGGAGGAATAAGCAATGCAAATCATCTATTTACGGCAATGAAAGAAATTAAATTTTTAACAATATTATCTTCTACAGCTTTACCAGCTGCTATTTCCTGGCATCCAGAGATGCCACATTTCTAACATATACTCTATTTCCATGCTAACTTTATATATTGTGGCTGCCCCTTGAGCTCCCCCCCCCCCCGCTGTCACTATAATGGCCGGGCGGCCACTTGCAAAATGCTTCAGACGGAAATTTTCCGATAGCTTGCCGAGGTCTCCCTAAATTTGTCAACAATTTTTCACGTATAAGGATGCATGAAATGAATTATGAATGTGTAGGCTGCCGGCACCATGACGTCTGACGATGAGTGCCTTCAAATTTTTACAAAAACATAATGCAATAATGACACACTGATTATTATTGTATATTTTCGGGATATATTTCAGTTGTTCCGAATTTCTTTCTTATTCTTCCTTCTTCCTTTATTCTTTCATATTTTATGTTATTTTATTCATAATTACAACAGATTACTTAAACATACATTTATTAAGTTTCTAAATATAATTGTTTACGTTTATGGGCTAGGCTCTGTATACTTGTTCTATAATTTACATAACTCAATCTTTGTTCAGTTTAAAGTCAGAGATATGTCCTGGTC